AAACTAAATAGAATAAAAAAATTCAAAAAAAAAAGTAAAAAAAAAAAAAAAAAAAAAGAGGCCTTTTTTTATTTGTTAAAAACATAACATTTATTGGCCTTGAGAGTAAAACAAAGCAAACATCTACAAAAAAAAAAAAAAATAGAGAAAAATCACTGCAGTTTTGGCACTGAGCTAAATAATGTTTCTGTTATGTACACTTCCATAGTAGATGGAGCTAACCATAGTAGAACCTGAAGCCCTTCCTGGTGCCTTGTGCGATTCAGAGGACAATCTAAAGTGGTTCTGTACTGAGGCTGGAGTAAACAGTGACAGAAAAAAAAGAAAAAAAAACAATCCTGGATTCTGTCACATGCCAATAAGAAATGGATCAAAATGTGATCAATTTGGTCAAACTACAAACATGCACACTCACACCAACATGTACACGTATCCCGCCACCTTCCACAAACTCCCATACTGGATCCGGTCTGGCTACTCTTGCTAGAAGACGTGTCAGTCGTTTATGCATAGATAAATGCATATGTACAGTACATGAATACATACATACACATATAAATACACAAATACATAGGACACAAAACAAAACCCTGTTATGATGGCATGTGAGCAGAGAGCTACAGGACAATGTCACAGCTACCTTCAGACACACATACCACAATAACTTCAGAGTACTCAGACCTGCGTCCTCATGTGGTGATAAATAACGAGAGCTCAGCCCGAATATATTCTTCATCAAGTTAATAATGCGTCGAGCAACCATCGCCAACACTTTATTTTTCCCAAAGAGGTGCCTGCCGCATCAAATTACTGTGGAGGATTAGGTTGATAACGGCAGAGAGCATCATGGGGGCTTTGGAGTTGGATTTATGGGGCGATCCATAGGCATTCAGTCCATCACACAGTTCATGTCAACACACAGGATTATAGAGGAAAAAAATAATCTATCTGTACAATAATATTACAGACTACAGGCCATACATTCCTGCACTGGTAAACCTTAAATATTAAGTATAGTTGAAATGCAAAAATTTGGGATAGATATATACATACAAACAGTACGTACAGTGTATATGTCTAGGTTGTTAAATTACTCATCTCATGTCTCCTTCGTGCCTATACGTGCCTCCTGCCCTCCTCTCATCATGTGCTCATGGTTTAGTGGGCTCCTGGGTCTGTATTCGAGAGGTTCTGCTATAGATGCTGAGATCCTGAGCGTCTGTGTCCTCCCATCCCATCCTCATGAACACATAAGATATTTTATTTGAATATGAAATAAAAAAACAACAACAAAAACAAACTAAAACCTGCAGCAACATTGTGGCAACCTGAAAAAAATAAAATAAAATCATCAGTTCACGATCATGCAATTAAGTAGCGTTTACAGACTAAAACAGCTTTCATTTATGAATTACTATGGCAACAGAACATATTATTAGCACAGTCAAAATCAGTAGGGAAAATCTACGGCTGTGTCTCAAACTTGAGCTGCCAACTTAAACAGCATATACTGGTCATCACAGGAGTAATTTGCCCCAATACAGGAATAGTTCACCCAAAACTGACATTGTGCTCTAAATTTACTCACCCTCAGGCCATCTAAGATCTAGATAAGTTTGTTTCTTCATCAGAACAGATTTAGAGAAATGTAGCATTACATCAATTGTTCACCAATGGATCCTCTGCGGTGAATGGGTGCCGTCAGAATGAGAGTCCAAACAGTTGATAAAAACAGCTGATTATTGTGATGTAATGCTACATTTCTTGAAATCTGTTCTGATGAAGAAACAAACTCATCTAGATCTTGGATTGCCTGCGGGTGAGTACATTTTCAGCAAGTTATCAATTTTTGGGCAAACAAGTGTTTTGTAACATACCCGTCTATGCATAGTAGCAGGGTGACACGAGAAGGTCTGTAAGCACCACAAGCTGGTCTTTTCATGCCTTTTTGTGACAATAATTAGACAGAGGGAATGGGACTAGACTCAGACCAGACTTGAACTTAAATGACTTTGGTTCTTAAATTTTGCGGGCATTAAATGTTACCACTGTGCCATGGCTCTGATTCAAACAGCACAGCAATGCATGTGATTAAAGTGTGATCATACCAACTGAAGGAATGGTGTCCACCACAGAGCTCAAAGCCATTTTAAAGTGGTTAAGCAAATAATAATAATAATAATCGGCAGGGATCCCAGACCAATACAATTAGTGTGCCTCCTCTATTTTAAAACCCACGAGCCGCCACTGTATGTAGTATATAATCAGTGTCACTTATTACAGGGTTTCTGCAGGATTTTAAAGCTCAAATGTAAGACTTTAAGACCTGCACAAATAAAATTAATACCATATAACCAGGGAAGGGCAGTATCTATGGTAACATTAAACTGTAAAATGATAGTAAAAAAAAAGCATGATTTACAGTTCAGATACAGGTTTTCACAAAAACAAAAAGTTTAATGATCATGATCTTCACATCTCAGCCTTTAAACCATTTTTAAGAAAATGGGAGAAAAAAAAAACTATAGTTACTATAGTTAATCCATGGTAACCACAAATTAACCATGGTTTTGCTACACTAACCAGGGCTGGAAATGAGGGGGGAACGCGGGGGACTGAGTCCGGGGAGTGAATTTCAAGGGGGGCCGACGTTCCAGCTCCAACTGGTTAGATTTTTTTGGAAATGAAAGGGATTTCTCTGTTTTATTCATTCAATAGCCTACACACATAAACATAGCGCAATATATAATAATAATCATTTTTGAATGAATCTTTTTGAACAGTCACAAATTAACTGACTGAATGATTCAGTGACAAAGACAGTGAGTTGCACTCACCTATTTAAATAATTTAATATTTCTATATTCAGACATTCATCACATAAAATTGTTATGAATTTAAATGTTTTCATGCCACCTCTGAGCCTCATTAAACAGTCTGTAAATATACCTAAATGCCAACTTATGCTTCCTGATTGTGTCTTATTATACTAATTGAATGTATTGTTATAATAAAAAAAAAAAAGTTTATAAATATAATTACACAGGGTGCCTTTGATCTTGATACATTAAAAAACATATGGTTTAGAGGAAACCTGAAATAAGTTTAATGTTATAGATTATAAAGGTTTATATAATTAATTAAATCTGAAAGGTCGTCAAAAAGTTACCCCAACTCAGAGTTCCCCGAGTGAATTTTGGCCATTTCCACCACTGACACTAACCATATTTTAATCACGGTATTTTTTAGTAAAACTATGGTTATACAAATGGTAGTTATACTAAAAAAAACAAAAAAAAACATGGTTACTACACTTCTACTATAGTAAAACCATGGTTAATTTTCGTAAGGGAAAACTATCAATTATTAAATGTAAACAACTATTATCAATCAACTATTAATATATTTTACGGTCTCAATTGTTTACATTTTTATAATGCATCATCTTCTTGTTGATCGACCAGTTCACATTTACAACTCTGCGTGTTTGCAGCGTAAAAACATGGGTTGATTTTCACATTGGTTCGATCAAAAACAGCAGCTCTGCCAGCAGGTGGCGCTTTTGAAGTGGCAGAAATACAGCGGTTTTCCCGGTAACGGCAGTAAACAAAGCAGGCAGCAGCTAACTGAAATGTGCAACGCTCATATTTATTTAATAAAATCAGAGCTACATTTATTTCAGTTAGTTAATAAGGCAATATTTCTAATATTTCTAATTTTCATCAATAGTTTCATTTTATTTCAGCTTTATTTCAATTACTGGCAACAGTTTTTAATAGTTTTAGTTTCACTTCATAACGCTCTTAGGTAAAAAAAAAAAATAGTCAAGGTCAAATTCAGCTTTCAAACAGTCGTCCTGATATGTGGGGTCGTGTCAAGCGTGTCTAAGGCCTTACCTCATGTAGCACCTTCAGTACCGTAGGGATCTGCTCAGGATAGAGGAGACCCTGAGACATGAGGGACAGGCACATCTTTGCATCCCTTTTCAGCTCATCATAGCTGTCATCATTTTCTACAGGAGCGATCTGCAGATGGAGAGAAACAGTCACAGAGTGGAAGTCAGCAATCCACTTAAGAGCACTCCACACAAATGTATAAAGGATGAGAGATAGCTAAGATAGAGAGAGAGCGAGCATGCGAGACCTTAAAGAGCAGGGGCAGCAGCTGCAGTTGCTGAGGTACTGGAGTAGAGAAGGAGCGCCCCGCACTGGCCATCAGCCACTTCAGAACAGTTTTGAGGAGTTTGATGGCCTGGGTCCTCTCATCCTGCTCCCCCACTCCGTTCTCCTCCACCACGTGGTTCTGGATCTCCTCGTCTCCCTCAATCAGGGGCTTCAGCTGAGACAAGATCCTTTCGGTAAACTCAGCAATGTGTGGTGACTTAGTAGGCAGAGTGTGTGGCAGGGTGACATCAATCATGAAAATGTACGTCAGCACACTGCAAGAGAAGACATGACAAGACAGAAATCATGACAAGAGAGAATCAGTTGAACTGCCAGTGTATTTTTAGACTACAGTGAACGTTTTGACCTCAACTGCAGACATACCTGCCAATGCGCTCTCTCACATTCTTATAAACCTGAGTGAGTTTGGGCTCCAAGTAACTAAGCAATCTGTGTAGCAGCTCTGGGACCCTCCACTCCTGCTGTGCCAGACCACCTTGCAGCACGTATAGGTGGCTACAGAGAGAGAAACAAATTATATCTCTCAATTATCAAAATATCAAATATGCATCCAAGTCTAAATGGTTTCAGAATTGTCCCACAAACTAAAACAAAATACACCTACCAGGCATCTACAAACGATCCACCTTCCCCACTGAGAGGACACTCCATCAGCATCTCAAAAAGCCAGTGAAGCTTTCGTGGATCTCGGCTCTCCTGAAAACATCAAACATCAACAGTGAGTTGTTCTCATAGCTTCACATACAGTCGTGCCCTAATGATTAGAGTCACCGAACCCCC